ATAAATAAATAAAGATAAGAAAAGAAAAGGGGCCACAGGGGCCACCAGAATCAACACAAAGTGAAAGTTCCTTGTAGCTGCTTTAAGTAATTTATTAAAGGAATTGTTCAACATTTTGGGAAATGCATTTCTTAGATTAGTGGATAGCAGTCATGTCTGCACACTACAGTTGGCTTAGCTTAGCACAAAGACTGGAAGCAGGGGGAGACAGCTAGCAAACTTTATTTTATTTCATTTTAAAACATTTTAGTGTTTTTTGTCTTTGGCTTTTGTTTTGTATCTTGACGATTTCCTTCTTTTCTTTAATTTATGTCTCTGTAAATTAAGTTTTTAAACTGTTGGTCGGCCAATTCAAACAATATGAAAACGTGACTTTGGGCTCTGGGAACTTGTAACAAGCATTTTTTTCAACATCCTCCAGATTAAACAAGCCAACAATAATCAATTGATTAGTTACAGGCCTAATTCCTAAATGTGTTATGTTCTGCCAGTGTTCCCTGGTCTTTTTGACTTCTCACCTTACCAAACAGACTTTGTGGACGTTGTGTTCTCGCAGGGTGTCATGGATCCAGAGCATTGTGGTTGTTGTTGCCAAAGAAAACGTAGACCTGATGACGGACATCATCCAGCGCTTCCAGCACAGGAAGGTTCGAGTGGTACCAGGCGGCTCGACTCGTCACAGGTCGATATGTAACGGAGTCCTGGCCCTGGGCGAGGGGGAGGAGGCGGCGGCGGCGGACAGACCAAAGGTGGTCATCATCCACGATGCCGTGCGGCCTTTCGTGGAGGAGGATTTTCTGTACAAGATAGCCATGGCTGCCAAGGAACAAGGGGTCAGTATGATGTATTTTCTACCAAATACATGAGTTTAAAGTATTAGTCAGTTGTATTATCAATTAATATTTAGATTTTTTCATCCAAAAATGCCCCAAATTCTCTGATTCCAGCTCCTCAAATGTGAGAATTTCTTATACAGCGCTGCAGCTAACAACTATTGTCATTATCGATTAAACTGCCAGTTATTTTCTCAATTATTTGATTAATTGTCTGGTCTATAAATGATCAGAAAATAGTGAGAAAAATACTCAACTCAGTTTCCCAGAGTCTCAAATCAAATATCTGTGAGTTTTAGACTGTTTAGACAAAATATTGAAGATGTTACTTTGAACTGTACATTTTTCACTATTTTTGGATGTTTTATAGAGCAAACAATCGATTCAAGAAAATTATTGGCAGATGAATCGCTAATGAAAATAACTGTCCATTGCAGCCCTAACTCATTGGAGTCCAGATTTCCCACTTGACAAGTCATCACTGTGATGTTAAGCTGTCTCCAGACTGGAAACCTTCTGGAAGATTTCAAAGTATTTCTAAAGCAGACAGGAGACGCACTCTGTCAGTGGAAAGGAGCCTTCGCTCTCTGCAGAAATTCAATTTGTAGGCAAATGGTCACACTGCCACAGGGAAACATTCAAAGCTCAGTAAATGTCGCAGCTTGGAAATGATTATAATTAAAGTTATCTCCAAAGCTCCCGTTTGTAAATATATGAATACGTGTAACCTCTATGGACTGTGAGTTTTTCCAGTTGCACATAAAGGCAGGATGTGTCTATTTCCAAGACAGATCGTAATCCCTCTACAAATAGAGGAAACAACCCCAAAATGCCAGTAGTTCTTCATGCTTGGACAGCGCAGTGCGTAGTGCAGCTAATTAAATCTCCACTGTAGCTCATACTTCATCTCTTTATGTGATTTTAGCAGAAAACCAGAGAAGGTCAATTACAGCGCAGAGTGAAAACAAATCCATCATAGTTAGCTGCAGTTAAAGCGGCTGGCATCAAACCGTTCACCTGGTGGGATGACAGGTTACCAAACGCCCATCTGTGACTTTTTGTATGTGCGCCTCGCTGTGGTTCATTTTTTATCGTGCAGTGTGAACATAAACAAACCAAACCTTAAAATGCAACAAAGTGGAGTTTTCCACTGGAGTTCGGACCAAAGAAGACAAACAGTTCTTGTGGTCACACCTTAAAGCTTGCCCCTTTGCACACGAGGCCTTTCCATCTTTTCACAAACTGTTTATCAGATTGACGGATCCGTCGCTCCTGGTGGGGGAGTTTATTTCATCAGGGATCAATGGAAAACATTGCAGATTGGTTTCATAATGATTCATGGCTGAGACTGAGCAGCTGAGAGAAGACTTTGTTGCATGCGGGTCACACAGGTTGTGAAAAACGCAAGAGCTCCCTGACAGAAGGCCAACATTTATGGTCTGTTTCTGAGTGTGTGTGTGGGTGTACTTTGTGATGAACTTTCACAGCAGGCGGTCTGGTGTTCATTGTCTTGCCAGTATCCACGCTCATGGCAGAAAGCCTGTCTCCACTGAAAAGCAGCAGATTCATTTTGATTTTAACAGCATGTGTAACACGCAGAACACATGTTTGCTTTCCCTTCATTTGCTGGACGTTCCTCTCGTGCACGCTCGCCGACTGTTAAACTCCTGGAAACTGCCTTCAATCATGCTATAGAGAGATGAAAATATTATCTCAGAAATGTTGATTATTTTGAATTTCCAAGGGAGGAGGTACGAGCAGTACGTGCTCCAGATGTGCTGGTTAAGATGGATTTATTGTTTCTTTGCAATATGGTCACAGTCTCAGTATAATCAGGGAAATATTCTCGCTTTGAAATGTGCAGTTATGGTTGAACAACTATCAAGACTATTTGACAAAGGGAAAAAAACGTAATCAGGTTTTGCAGCTTTCAATAGTGTCTCATGATTCTAATGCTGCATTCACATGGATTCAGGTAGAGGGACAGCTAGGGATGCACCGATACCGGTATAAGTCCGGTATTGACCTCATAATTCTACTTGTACTTGATCATAAAAGTACTCCGCTACCACCTTACAGCAGTGTGAGGTTAACCTCTCGTTAGTTGAGCAAGGCGAGGAGAAGCAATGTCAGCATTTTGAAGATATTTAAAGTAACTTTTACAACAATATTAGCAACATTTCATTTGTTATTTATGATGTCGTATTGTTTACCAATCATGTAATAAAACATATTAAATAAAATTATTTTTCTTTAATTATTAGCTTCTAGTTGTTCAGGTTGGCCGGGTTTTCTCCTTGTGTGAGGGAGCTACGCGACATGCGATTTGAATTTACGCTGCAGAGGACGGTGAAAAGTGTAAATATTTGAACTCTGAACTTGCCTTCTATGGTTATTCCTCATTGTACATATAAGATGTTTAAAATCAGGCAAAGAGACCGGTTTACTCCGTCTTTTTGATGGCTTTTCCAAGTGAGGGAAGCAGAGCATATAAAAGCTTTCTTCCCCAGTTCCGTCCGTACACTTGGAACAAAAGACCATATCATGTTCTGACCAATAACTGCAGCACCGCTGACAGCACAGATGTTGGTTGTTACAACAAACAGCAACTCTCTATGTGACAGACTGATTTCAGAGGTTACCAGGAACTCTGAATTTCCCTGATTTGCCTCTAGAGGGTTTCCTTTTTGTTCCTCTCTCTGCACTGTCCATTATTGGTAATTTTCAAATTGATTCAGTGCACTTCCCCCCTCATTTCATTTCTGTTCCACCTCTAAATGTCACTTTTTACAACTGTAAAATACAACGGAATTGCAGCATTCAGCACATTCGCTTCGGGAATTGCAGTTTGTGCCTAGCTAAAGTCTTTGGAAAATGTTATTCCTTGTTCAGGCATTTGATCTTTGTCCTATTGAGGATGTTCCTGTCTAGACATTTTTACTACTAATTCAGTTTTTTTGCATTTTTCACCAAACTCTGTAACAAAAACTATTGAAACCAGGGGTGGTAAAATAAAATAAACATTGAAAAATATCCTGTCACAATATTTTTCTCAAACACTGCATTGATTTTTGCTTTTAAAGCCCAAACCACTTAACAGCAGTGTTGTAATCGTGGACAGAGGGTTATACTGCTGGATGTTACAGAGACTGTGATAAATACAAATAACAAACAAACGAAAAGAGACTTTGTTTTACATAATTTTTTGCATTTCAGTTCTTTATGCTATGACAATTTTTCTAAAATTCGATTAGATTTTAAATTGCAGTATATATTGTCTTTCGTTCAGTATTGCAATATATCCCAATTTATTGAATTTAACACCTGTATTGTCATACATATCATCTCGCCAGCTTCTTGCCAATACACAGCTCTAGAAACAACTAAGACGGGTGTAACAGTGTTTTTGCACACAATATGCCTAAGGAATAATAAATAACTCTACTGTCATAGTTTGTTTGCTATCAAACCTTTTCAAGAATATTGTGAGGAAATAAAACTGTATTTGTTGTTAATCAAACCGTATCCGTATCATTACAACCCCAAGCACTGAAATGTCAATTTTACAAGGTACATCATGTCTTGCAGCAGCTTTGAGACGACTTCCACCTTGGTTGGGGGTATAATTTCTATCTGAAAGTTATTTCTAAACTTTATTATTGTAGTCAAAACAAAGTTGTATCTTTTTTTTTTGACACCCAGGCAGCGGGAGCTATCCGACCTCTTGTTTCCACGGTGATAGCGACCACAACGGAGGGCTACCTGGATCATTCTCTGGAGCGAGCCAAGTACAGAGCCAGCGAGATGCCTCAGGGATTCACATACGATGTCATCTATCAAGCCTATCAGAGGGTAGAGTCGGTTCTTTAATTTACCTTTAACACATAAGTGGGCGTTCCTATGTTCTGGATATGGTTGCGAGGGCGTTAATGAGACAACAAGTGCGTACATAATGGTTTTCACTCCCTAGATACAAATAATGTGGGACATAGCAACAAGTGATGTTCTGTTCATCAGTGAGTGAGGAAGTGTTGCATATTAATATCAATAATATTAAACTTAATAATAAATTTGTGCTGCTCTTTTAAAAACAAAGTTACAAAATGTTTTTACATAGTTGAACCGGGATTAAAACATTTAAGGACGGCAATGAGGCCAATTAAATAGAAAACCCAACAATAATATTGTATAAAAAATTAAATAATAAAGGATAATAATAATAATAATAATAATAATAAATAAACATGCTAATAGTTTAGTACCTTTTTAAAAAGATACCTTTTGAGAAGTGATTTTAATTGATGTCACTAATTCTGCAGCCTCAGATTTCCAGTTCCAGACCTGACGAGTCCTGACTGCAAAAACCACCTTCAGTCTTGAGCTGGGACTTAGGAACAACCAGCAGCCCTGCCTGAGGCTCTGGCTCATAAGGGGAGCAGGAATTCAGCAATATAACTAAAGTATAGCTATAGCTAAACCACAAAGTGCTTTACAGATAATCAGTAAAATCTTCAATTCTAAAACTGACTGGTAATTAAACCTGGAGGGATTCGATCTACGATGTATGTATGTAAGTATTTGTTTAAAGCCGAGGTGCTGCATTTCTTACAAGCTGAAGACACAAGATCTTTTTTCTTTGCTTTGGCTTACAATAATATAACCAAGATGATATGAAAGAAAAAAAAAAGTATGACCTTCTTGAGATCAGGTCGAGACACGATTTTTGAGATCCTCTCCAGTTGATGAAAACATGATTGAACGAATTTTGTATGTGTGTTTGTTTTTCAAAATGAAAGGTCACTGTCAAATATTACACCCAGGTTTTTGGCTGCAGGTTTGACATTTGTAGACGGGGAGCCAAGATGTTTTTGTGGAAGTGGGATAGAGGAGCAAAAAGAATCTTTCGGATTAATTTTTTTTCATTCATCTTGAGAGAAGTTCCGGGACATCGAGCACTTTATTTCGTACAGATTAAGTAGAGAGTGAGAGGCCAGTGGCTGCAGAGAGTGAGTGTGAGTGAAATTTAACACAAAGTTTTAAATGTTTCCCTACTACTCTTTGTGATAACCTGTTAATTTGACTCGTCCCAGGTTTTGATTTAGGTTTGATCTCTCTCTCTCTCTCTCTCTCTCTCTCTCTCTCTCTATTTCTCATCCCACTCAGCTCAGGTAAGCTTTTGCCCCTTTGTTAGCTAGTTGAACACAATTAAAGTAAAACATTTTTAAATAAAAGTGACAGAGCTAAAGAAAATGGGGGCAAATGAGAGCAAAGTAAGTGAAACTTTATTCCCTTATTTCACTGCCTTTATGCATTACCCGTAGCATTTATTTACATACACTGCAAGAGTGTTTAATTAGTAGTAGTAGTATAAAACTGCCACTAGCTTACCAGATCATTCTGCGTAACTGAAGAGGTCTAGCAGCAATCTGGGATGAATCCAAAGCACACGCAACCAAAAGTGTGATTTCTACAACTGCTACATTTGTGAAAAACAACTCACAATATCACAGGACGGAGAAATAAAGTCCTGCAGGCATGTGTCGCTTACTCCTGGTGTTGAATAATTGCACAAAAAAAGGTCTCAAATCTTGTGAAATGACAGTTCAGGTTCAGATTTATGCTCTAAGAATTACACCACTTACATGACAAAGGTCTTTATGATTCTCATACATCATAACAGGCCTTTACAGTCCTTCATTGTTCAGCTGATGTGCCAGAACCTGCAGGCTTTCACTCTGAAGAGCTTGTGGCGTGGGTGCTATCATTTTCACTTGGCCTCTGCTGCGTCTGGGAAAGAAATGACACATTAATGTATTCTGCCACACTGCAGCAGATTAGTCTGTGGAACAAAAGTGAACAAAGGCTCAGTTGGAAAAATGCTGAAAGCGCGCTGAAATTACATGGCACATTTAGGTGGATTCGGATTAATAGTCTCAGCAGTTGAGTGCGTTTTAATATGTGTACCTGAAAAATGGAAAGAATTTACCCGCTGACGTAAGCCGTAAATGTGTTGATTCTTCTCTGAAAGCAAGGGGCTTATTGCAAAGACTTGGCAGGCAAATCCAAGACAACTTAATGTGAAACCTGAGTTGCAGAAGTTGACCTTATTTATTTTTCAGACACTTTGAGTTTGCTGTTTCAACCTTGCCTCCATTAGATCTTCCGATAGCCACGTTTTTTTTGAAGGACGCAGTGAACTTTGAGCTAAGAGCTAAAGTATGCCTCCAATTGGAGTCCCATTTGTCTGCAGTTATTTTTACTCCTGGCACATATGGATCTTCGAATTGCTTTGAGAGCCCTGTTGGCTTTGGCGTTGGCCTTTTCAGAAAATGAGCTCACATTTGTACCGCAGTGTCAAGGCCAGTAAAGTTGCAAAAATTAAGACAAACCTGGGAGGTCGCTGGAGAAAGAGAAGTTTGTGGTCGTTTGAGTGTGTCCCCCTCTCTCCGCCTGTTTTTCTCCCTCTCGTCAGCCTTTCAAAAGATAAGGAAAGTGTCAGGTTAGGACTGTAGGACATGCTCATGAAAAATCTCTGAGAGCTGCACATTTGTATCTTGACATCCATTGAGAGTAGAAGAACTTAGGGCTGAAAAGACAAAGGGGGAGACACTTTATCCAGTCCCCAAGTGAAAGCTTTTGTACAAGGAGAAAATGCTAAAGGTTAAATTACCGCAAGACCGAGAGCGTATTTCTGCTGTAATTTCTCTCTTCTGTTCCAGGGTTGTAGGAATAAAAGACCCCTCTCTTTTAGAACTTGATAAAATATTACCCAGGTATAATCTCAGGTAGCATGGATTTGTCTTTGTAGTCCGGACTGTATTTTAAACCAAATGAGCTCATCGCCTCAATCCAAACTTCCATGTGATCTACACGGTCGGAGCTTTCCCAGCTGTGAGTCAAAGTAAACAGTAAAAAATCAAATGTTCTTTGGCACAATAAAGTATATGAGCTAATCTTAATTAAGATTAGTTCAGTAAGAGAAATGACAGTCACCAACAATGACATAAATACACACACAATGAAAGCTGGCTAGCTTGTTTTTCATTGCTGGTTCCAACACAATGTCTAAGTTTTGGTAACGATTCTTTCAGTACCTTAGTTTAAAGCTGCTCTAATCAACATTCATGGGTTTTTTTAGCTTGTTGCACTGCCCCTAATCGGCCAGAAAGGAATAAAAATGAATGAATTGTGAAAGATGCCGCTTTATTGTGACTAACGCAACCACTATAAAAACGGTAAGGATATAATATGTTTCAGCTTGCTTCCTTGAAGAAGTAAAAAAAATTGGTTAATTCAGCTTTAAGTAAAATAGTCTTATTAGAATTAACAAAATTTTTCAGATCAGGAAATCTCAGCAGATAGTAATACCACTACCATGCATACATTAGGGCTCAATCCTTGCCGCCACTGCCCCTGGTTAGATTCTGGCCTGTGGTCATCCCTCCATTTCTCCCCTTTCCTGTCTCACTTGAGCTGTCCTGTCCAATGAAGGCAAGAAAGCCCCCAGAAAATATGAAAATGAAAACATTTGCCAGGTTTTGTTACTCGGTGCTGCAGATGCATTTTGATGGGTATTCATAAAGTGTTGTGGTTTGATACACAGCCCTACACACAGCAAGACTCCACATTTAAATGTTAAGTTTTTCATATTTATGAAAACAAAACCAATGAAACCCCAATTTAACTTTCATATGGAATATTGTACCAGCAAAAAAAAAAGGTAAAACCGAGGTAGAAATTATTGTATGAATTTTAACAACTGAAGTTGGGACTCAAACAGGAACATGCACATCCAGATTGGCCCTCACATGAAATGAATTCAGGCCTCATTAGCTCGACTTTTGATTTCTCTTTGCTCATTAATTCCAAAGAAGTTTTTCCTGCACAAAAAGATTGTTCATATTTTTGTAGTTATTGTTTTGTTTACAAAGTGAGATTCAGCTCATTACGGCGGACCGGCCTCGCTCCCCTTTCGTAGCACGTGCAACCACCGTCACGTGTTTACATTACATTTATTTAAGCTATTTTCTTCCAATGAAATATACTAAAACCACATGTTTTTTACCTACTAATGAGCCTTGGAGCTGTTACTTGAAAAACCAGGGAAAGTAAAGTACTGGAACAAACAATGTCAGATCTCTGCTGCCTAAAAGGGGCAGTAAAGTAGAAGACCCTTTTATTAGTTACTGCTTAAACATTTATGATAAAATGTGTTAAAGCACTCTACTGTATGTGTGGAAATTAGTCTTTTTTTCTTTCAGGGTCATCCAACACAAATAAATTCCTGTGGGTAACACTGTTGTTAAAGCGTTTAGATTTTGAGTGGGATATATGAAGATTTCAGAGGAAGTAGGGGAACACTACAGAATCCTGAAATAGATCAGGTTATTCCACCCAGATTAAACATGAAGTAAACATTTAGATTTTCCCTTTTCTCATGTATGCAGGAACTACCATTAGTGTACCATCTGCCTATATACAAGAAAGCACGTCAGATCTTGCAGAACAATGTGGGAAAATGTCTTATGACCTGATAAAACCAAAGTTCTTAATACAGATAGATAAGAGTGTTACAAGGCCAACGGTCCATCAGCCAAAGAAAACAGTATCCTCTGAAGTGTCTGCTGAAAAATGTGGTGATGGCAGCATCATGTTATGAGCCTGTTTCTCCTCTGTTGAAACACCAGCTCTGATCACGATACAGACATAAAGGCTTCAGATATTTTTGTGAAATATCTGCAGACAGTTGAAGTTAAAGAAGAATTTCATCTCTCAAAGAGACGGCCACATGTTGCACAAAACCAGATTATTTTAGGAATGCCTGGACAGAGGAAGAACCTTCTCGAACAAGTGGTAAATCAGACAACAAAGCAGGTCATATTGCAATTTGACTGAGCCTGAACTATTCTGAAAATAACAATGTGAGGCAATTCTTGAAATGCAGGTGTGCTAAGTAGACCTTTCCAAGCATTCTTCATGCTGATATTGAAACAGAAGGTCTTACTGTGATATTTGTTTCTGCCCTTTGTTGCGGAGAAAGATATCTTAACAACCATTGGCCAATTTTTCATGAAATTTGATCTCCAGAGGATGATTCCCTATGAATTTAATGACCCCCTGATCCGTCTTTGTTTGGCCAGAATTTTACCCGTGGACAAGAATTTGGCCAACGACAATTTATCTTAAAAATTGCTCAACAATCCTCATTACAATGAGAAATTGTTAATATTCACACAAGAAATGTAAATATAATTTAAAATGAAATGTATGTGATGGACTATCCATCTTAATGACAGTAATATCTAGAAAATGTCCAAGTGTGTGTACAATTTTGACATCTCTTCTTAAATTCACAGTGTAATAGAGATTATCACAACATATATCTGTCAATAAGTACATGTATGATACAGGGCATCCAGTTGGTTTGCAGCCTCTGATGCATTTCCAGCACCGCAGAGGAACAACATAGTGTTCTTCTGTGATGGAAATATATTGTTGTCAACAATTGTCCACAGCCGCTTCTCTCTGTTGTGTCCCCTGTGCAGTGCAGCGAGTCAGACTTTGAGTTTGGCACCGAGTGTCTCCATCTGGCTCTGCAGTACTGTGGCACCAATGCCAAGCTCATCCAGGGTCCGCCAACACTGTGGAAGGTGAGCTCGCCAGCGGCCTGGTTTGGGCTGTGGGTTGTGGATTTGGTGACATTTTGGCTAGCACAGCTGTATGCTCGCTGCTGATTTATCACATGGACACAAACAAAGCTCATGGATTGAAAGCGATGGGTGCTGGCAATAGAAGAAGCACTAATATATTGAATGTGACATCCGGGATTAGCATGTTGTAATTAGTTTAAATGTAAATGTTCTGTGCTTAATCAGATCATGTAACCGTTTGCCTTAAACAGTTCGTTCACCCAATTTACAAAAATATGTATATATTTTTTGTTAGTGTTATCTAGCCATGAAGATAGTTTTGGTTTTATGTGCTGAGGTTTTGAGTTTTCTCTCTCTACCCCAATATAATGGAAGTGGACAGAATTGTGTTTGTGGTGGTTAAGCCATTGAAGAAGGAGATTTAAATAACATTTGGAGAGCAACTTGTCTTTCCAGAGACAATGCTCCGGTTACTCTGGATAATTCAGAGCGGTGTTTCCCAACCCCTGCTCATGATACAAAGCTGTGACCCCAAACCAGAGGTGGGTTGTCACTGAGTTGTGATTTTTACCCCTCTTCCCTTTCTACCATATAGTTGTATCATCTACATCAGGAACTAAACGTAACTTTTGCATACAACCTTTATGAGTTTGCTGCTTCTCAAGAGCCATAAACATTGGCCAAAGGAGTCTGATGTTGGATCAGAATGTAACGACTGCATTTCAGACACAATTTTCATACACAGGAAAAAAAGAACATGTTGCTCTTTTAGCGCTCCAAGCTCAGATTGTGTCTGGGCCGTGGGAGAGTCCTACCCCCAGATTGTGGACTTTTTTGGCACTCTAACTCAGTTTAGACCCTGCTGGTACCTCCTGTCGAAACTCATTTTATTAGATTATCTTACATTTTATTTGAATATTTTGTTTTTTTTTAAGAAGCTCCAAGAGTCAAATATAATACAAAGCAAAGATTATAGAAATGTCCAAAGAGTAAATATAATTTTGCGTAGCAGAGTTGATTTAGAGTAACTGGGACACAGATTCTGGTAAGACACTTTACTGTTTTTAAATTTTGTTTGTCAATGCTTTGAGGAACCCAGTGTAGAGGGATAGTGGGTTATTTTTCAGAGGCAGATATCTTAAAATCTTTCTCTAGCACATTAAACCAAAACTATCTGCATGGCCAGACACCTCTATAGATACAAATGTTTTTTTCTTCTAATTTGGGTGAACTGATCCTTTTTTTGTCCTCCAGGTGACCTACAAAAGGGATTTGGCTGCTGCAGAGTCCATTATCAAAGGTGAGTTACCTTCTTTATACAGGACATCATTCCCTATATGTACTGTGTATAGCAGACCTTTTCATTTATGTATTTCATATGCACAAATGAAGTATACATGAAAGAGTGAAGGCAGTAGGTCTTCTTGGGCACGTTGAATGGTCAGAAATGAGCAGTTTTTGTCTCTTTTTGTTGGCAGGTTAGAGTTAGAGTTGAAAAGAATAAACCATAATCGCCTCTCACTGTTCTCAGAGGGAGAAATTCTTTGTAGCATTGTTCAGCTTGCTCGGAACAGGGCGTCTGTAAGCAGTCTGTGAATACTACGGAGAGCAAGTCAGGACAAGGGAGACTATCACAATCAGAGAAATGGAAATAAACACAGCCCTGTATTTCACCCCGCCAGCACCTGGACCATCAATTACCTGTTTGATGATGACATAAGGTGCACAGTGATTATTCCCAGAGCCTCTGATGTGAATGAATTCATTGTGTGTTTTTTAGAGAGGACGTGGAAGAAAGTTCTCACATCTGTCAGTATGAGAAACTGTCGAGAGTTTCAGTTTGTGTGTGTTTGTGTTTCTGTGTGCTCACACATACTAACATACACATCACGGTGTGTGCATTTGGGTGTGGGTGTACACGCCGCTGTGTGTATCCTGTTTACAAGAGTGTGTTGATAAATTGATTTTTCAATAGATGGCTTTTAAATGAGGTAGCCGCATTGGAGGTCCTCAGTTTTTTGCAGCGGTGACTGTGATGAGTTGATGTTGTTTGACAATGTACAAATCGGCCATCTTAAGCTAACGTCGTAGAAATGATTAACTTTTTGTACCCCTGGTTCTGGTTACGTCTACCTCTGGAGACACCCAAAACAGGTGTAGGTGAAATGAGTCAAAGTAAGGCTGCACATATTAATTAATTTATATATTGTTGCAATATATTAAGTGCAATATCCAAATCGCTGAAGCTGCATTTTTTAAAATATGTGTCTAAACCTCATTATACTGAGGTACTGAGTTGCAGAGGTGCCCTGGCCTACAAATCTTGTTCTCCAGTGATTGGTACAGACCCCAACAAATGTCACATCATCATGAGATTCATCAGTCAGTGAAAAATCATTTTCAGTGAAAATTAATGCAAATGCAAAAATGGACATTCCCAGTAATTGCGAGTCATATCACAATCGTACTAACTGTCAAAATAATTGCAGTACGAGTCTTCTACCATATTTTGCAGCCCTAACTTAAAGCAGGCTAATGGTGTGCATCCCTCTGTCATGTGTTTTAATATTTATTACATATTTTGAAATATGAAACTCCACAGAGACAACACTGGTAAGTGTTTACCTACTCCCATGGACCTCTTCTAATGATTTTCAACCAGTCACTCAGTCTCTCTTTTTCAGAGACTCTGTCGCAGTCGGCCTGTGCTGTCACAGGTGGATCCACACAAGCTGTGACGCTGGCTGATGCCCTTCAGAAGGCTGTTGGAGCTCTTGAAATGGTAAGAGCGTGATGGTCACAGCTGATTTAAAATGTTGGTCGTGTTGATGACAGCAATACTGAAGATCCTCATGAGTTTGCGATTTTTATTTTCCCCATCCCTGTACCTCCAATCCCCCCGCAAACTCAATGTGAGCTCCACTTGGGTGGCCCGGTGGTGAGACTTGCCATCTGCGGTCAGACCTCTAATGGAGCCTGTCTGGGACATCCACTCTCGGCAACTTTCCTCCTCCTCATTTTCTCCCTCCATCCCCGACCTCCACCTCTCACTCCCCTGCATGCAGGAGAGCAGATGGCAGTCATATTTCCTGTACTGTGGGAGTTTGCTTGATTAATTGAGTGTTTAGTGATGAGTTCGTACCTCCTCCTCCTCCTGCTCATCCTCCTACCACCTCCGCTCAGTCAGACTTGACAAGCTCCCAGTTTCCACCACAGTTCATATCCCTCCCTTTCACTCTTAATTTCTTTTTGGGCACATCAAATTCCCATGTTGCAAACATCCTTCGTTTAATTTGTAAAATTGTTCCTAATAGACAATGGGAAACAGTATCCATATGCAAAACAGTAAGTGAGTGACGGTTTCAGATATTCAATCAGACGGCCCAGACCACGCAGAGGTTCCACATGTGAAATGCTCTCCTTTACCTCAACAACTGTTGGGTTTCCCTTGAGCAAGCCACGTAACCACAAACTCAAGCAACCTTTTGTCTTTCTTCAAAAATAAGAAAGAAGAATAGATGTCACAGAAATAGGCTTTGGTTCTGTCAGACAGAAGGGTTTTTCGTGCAAAGCTGTATTTAGTACAAGAAAGTGATAATCACCAGTTACTGAGAACTTATGATGGTCACAATGTAACATCAGAGTTTGTATAAGCTGTAAAATCGGTTTTGACATAGACAAATTAACCTTACAGTAAAGGTGTAAAGCTGCAAGAGGGTGTATTGTATCACCTGGTAGGAAAGAGCTCATTCAGCCAAGGGAGTGGACAGGACAGGATATTATAAATGCCTGTGCAGTCTTTTTTCAATTTAACAGCTCTGTGACAAATACTACCTTTGTGTAGCTTATAATGTTTTTGTTTTGTTGAAGAAATTCTCTCCAGAAGATGTCAGTTTTGAGAATCAAATTTGAAAAGCTGGCTCTGTTTGTAGCCTGCTCTTTAGTGGAAGAAAGTGGTCAGCTTGGTTCACTGCAGGTACAGTGGACTGCAGTGGAGTCACAGCAAATAAACATGTCAAAAATCCTTAAAAACTTCTCAAACCGCTGTTACAGCATATTAACTTCTCCATTGTTGCATTTGTTTTGCACACTTATAGTTTGTCCGTAGTATAGCTAAATACAGAATGTCCTTGTCACGTGGTCGCCTGTGCATAATTCAGAAGGTCTACAGGAAGTTGCATATTTATCGATTTATTGTTGAGGTGAGGACTGTCGGATACTGAGCAAAAGGGTTAACGACAGAGGAGTGGCTTAAGCTCAAAGAGTGGTATGAGAAGTTTTTATCAATGGTTTTTTTGCATTTTTTTTCTGGCAATTTTTTCTCCAAGGCCATTATTTTCACTAGGGACAGGGGACACTGGTACTCCTCCCTTTTCAAAAACATACCCACTTTTATAGTTTGAGCATTAACAGTTTCAGCTTGTTTAAATTTTTTTTTCTCTCTCTAGGAGTTTAAAAAAGGAAAAAATATTGACTCACTTATCTAGAACACCTTCAGTTATATTGTAAACTCACAGAAATTAAGCTTTACAGGAACCAGCAAAAGCACTGTCACCTCTTGTACATGTTTTTCAGAGAAAAGAAAAATCTGTTCTTCAATATTTTCCTAGAGTCAAAAGATAATCCAGTGCTCCTGCTGATAAAGTTGGAAAAATAATAAGTATCTGTTTGTCACTGACATAAATATATATATATAACAGAAAACATTTTTTATTTTGTGGTTACAGAACCTCTGAATTGTGAAACCAAACCTGTGCTCTTGACATAATCATGTGGGAATCAATGGGGACATAATCATGATGTAAAGCTACCCTGTAAAACAACACCAAAGTCCTCAAAAATGTGGACAGAGTTGAATCAACACCTCTCTGACACAGATTGTATAACATTATAAGCTTCACAAAAGGTTGCACGCCTTTTGTATTGGATCATGTGAGATTTTACAGGTGTTTATGATATTGTGTTCATCCCTTTAATGTGATTATATTTCATACCCATAACCTATAATTTTTCTCCAGAGCAGACACCCAGGCTGACAAATCGCCCACACATGGCTTCATGTACAGAAAACGTGTTTCCTGGATCATCTTGATGTGTATGTATATTCCCTGAGTGTAGGTGTTGACAGTGGAAGGGGGCGGCAGAGCACACCGCATTACGTGTTTCCATGTTCCACTGTGATCCGAACAGTCCATCCTCCTTTAAACTCGCTCCAAGTCCTTCATCAGCCGGTGTCAAACGATCAGGTCTCGCTGTCCAGTGCTGGACCGGGCCCCAGAGACGGATTGGGGTCGGTATCACTCTTCTTGGATCGGCTGATTGGAGCCATTCCCGTCTGTGCTCAGGTGGCCGGTGGGGCTGTGTTTTTCCGGTGCGCGTGTTCGGAACCAGATACATCCTTTTCAGGGAGTTTGGGAGTGAGGAATAATGGAGGGGGAGATGAAAGGCGAGTGGAAGAAGCGGAAGATGAAGAATTACCATTGTCCCAGTGCCATTACGTGAATCTAATACAGGGATAAGCAAGGTTGGGCTGCTCAAGCTCCGCTGAAAACTGACAGTGTAGTGTAGTGTAGTGTAGTGTGTGTGTGTGTGTGTGTGTGTGTGTGTGTGTGTGTGGTGTGTGTGTGTTTATGTGCAGGTGGAGGATTTGTCAGCGTGTGTGCTGAGGAAGACACTCACAGTAAGAATGTGATTAAGGGATTCTCTCAGCAGGATGTTATCTGAACGATCCATTCAAGGCAGTTTAAATCTAAGCTTACAGAGAAAAAGGAAAAATTGTCAGCTGAAATTTATACAAAAATGAATCTCCTGAAAATGCCACATTCCAGAAAGAAGCCATTTTAGGAGAATCTAT